GGGTAGCAGGAACAGCAGCAGGACGATCGAGACGCACCGCAGGAGCCGGAGGGGCAGGCGGGAGGTGGGCTGAGGGAGGATGAATTGTAGGAGGAGGAGGCGGAGGCGGAGGAGGAGGAGGAGGCGGAGGAGGAGGAGGAGGAGGAGGCCGAGGGGGGGCATGAGGATTTGGGCGATGGTGATGCTGATGATGAGGAGGGGGAGGAGGACCATGATGAGGAACATGTTGATGAGTTTGGCGATCATGCGTTTGATGGGCATGGTCATGGCTGGATCATGTTGGCACTAATCATGGCCATACTTGCAATGCTACTGATGGCGCGGAGGAGGATCAGGCGTAGGAAGGCTCGATAGCATGCACGGGGGGGGAGGGGTGAGGCAAGATGATCAAGGGCTAAGAGAGAGGATGACGACAGGAACAACGTCGGACAACAGGCTAGGGGTGTAGGACATGTGAGTCGAAGCGTGTGAGCGGTGTCCCGACATGCGGGTGGAACCGCATGCGAACCTTGCCACTAGGGACTTCGGTGGAGCTCCCTAAGGGGCCACTACGTGTGTGAGGGGTGTGCCGAAATTAGTGGTGGAACCGCATGCGAACCCTGCCGCTGGGGCCTTCGGTGGAGCTCCCAATGAGGCCACGAAACGCGTGAGGTGTGTGTGTGTGTGTGTGTTTTTGTGTGTGTGTGTGTGTGTGTTTTTTTTTGTGTGTGTGTGTGTGTGTGTGTGTGTGTGTGTGTGTGTGTGTGTGTGTGTGTGTGTGTGTGTGTGTGTGTGTGTGTGTGTGTGTGTGTGTGTGTGTGTGTGTGTGTGTGTGTGTGTGTGTGTGTGTGTGTGTGTGTGTGTGTGTGTGTGTGTGTGCGCGTCTGTGTGTGTGCGCCGAAAGTAGTGGTGGAAACGCATGCGGACCCTGCCACTGGGGCCTTCGGTGGAGCTCCCTTTTGGGCCACGGAGCTTGTGATGGGTGTGCCGACATGGGGGCGGAGCCGCATGCGAACCCTGCCACTGGGGCCTTCGGTGAAGCTCCATATGGGGCCACGAAGCGTGTGATGTGTGTGCCGAAATTGGTGGTGGAACCGCATGCGAACCCTGCCACTGGGGCCTTCGGTGGAGCTCAAATTTGGGCCATGAAGCGTGTGAGGGGCGTGCCGAAATTGGGGTGGAACCGCATGCGAACCCTGCCACTGGGGCCTTCGGTGGAGCTTTGGGTCACGAAACGTGTGAGGGGTGGATCCGCATGCGAACCCTGCCACTGGGGCCTTCGGTGGAGCTTCCTTTGGGCCACGAAGCGTGTGATGGGTGTGCCGACATGGGGGCGGAGCCGCATGCGAACCCTGCCACTGAGGCCTTCGGTGACGCTCCATATGGGGCCATGAAGCGTGTGATGTGTGTGTGTGTGTGCCGAAATGTGTGGTGGAACCGCATGCGAACCCTGCCACTGGGGCCTTCGGTGGAGTGCCCTTTTGGGCCTCGAAGCGTTCGATGGGTGTGCCGAAATTAGTAGTGGAACCGCATGCGAACCCTGTCACTGGGGCCTTCGGTGGAGCACCAGATGGGGCCACGAAGCGTGTGATGTGTGTGTGTGTGTGTGTGTGTGTGTGTGTGTGTGTGTGTGTGTGTGTGTGTGTGTGTGTGTGTGTGTGTGTGTGTGTGTGTGTGTGCGTGCGTGCGCGTGCGTGCGTGCGTGCGTGCGTGCGTGCGTGCGTGCGTGCGTGCGCGTGTGTGTGTGTGTGTGTGTGTGTGTGTGTGTGTGTGTGTGTGCGTGTGTGTGTGTGTGTGTGTGTGTGCGGTGGAACCGCATGCGAACCCTGCCACTGGGGCCTTCCGTGACGCTCCATTGCTCCCTTTTGGGCCACGAAGCGTGTGTGTGTGTGCCGAAATTGGGGGTGGAACCGCATGCGAACCCTGCCACTGTGTCCTTCAGTGGAGCTTTGGGCCACGAAACGTGTGAGGGGTGGAACCGCATGCGAACCCTGCCACTGGGGCCTTCGGTGGAGCTCCCTTTTGGGCCACCTAGCTTGTGATGGGTGTGCCGACTTGGGGGCGGAGCCGCATGCGAACCCTGCCACTGGGGCCTTCGGTGAAGCTCCATATGGGTCCACGAAGCGTGTGATGTGTGTGTATGCCGAAATTGGTGGTGGAACCGCATGCGAACCCTGCCACTGGTGCCTTCAGTGGAGTTCCCTTTTGGGCCACGAAGCGTGTGATGGGCGTGCCGAAATTGGGGGTGGAACCGCATGCGAGCCCTTCCGCTGGTGCCTTCGGTGGAGCTCCCTATGGGGCCACGACGCGTGTAAGGGGTGCAAGGGGTTGAGGAGGGAGGAGCGGGAGGGGGGTTCAAGGGGAGAAGGAAGGTGTGAGTGACGCGGGGTGCTGCCGCTTCAAAATGAGGATCCGACACCACAGGATGGTTGGGATAAATCTCGATGAGAGGGTCCGGAGGGGGGTTCCAAAGAGGGGGGGGTCGGGGCACTGCCACACCGCCCTCAGAGAGAGCAATACA